CCTGCCGTTGCCACGCACGATACAACCGTGCCACATGATGTCGGGGTCATCGGGGGAGCCCGTGTTGGGCAGGTCTGGGATCTCAACCTCGCTCACCACCTTCGCGTCCGCATCAATCACCAGCACGGATTTGCTCGTGGCTGGCACACCATACGCGCGTCCATCTGGGCCAACAAACCCGGGTGCCCACCGTGGCCTCTCCCACTGGATGCCGTCCTCGTCCTTGCTTGTGCGAATCAGTGACGTTGACTGCGTGCTCGGATCGATGACGAGCACGGAGTGGAAGTTGCGGGGAAAGCCGATAATCTTGCCGCTCGGCACCATCACGCTTCCCCACCACTTGTCGTTGGCAGGGTGAACCGTCAGGGTTGTGGCGTCGTAGGTCTGCGTTTGCGGGTCGATGATGAGGATGGCATTTGCGTCACGCGGGACGCAGTAGATCTTGCCGTCCCTGCCAAGGGAGCCTCCGCTCCACTTGATGTTGTGCTGGCTCTCGTGGTCGACGTCGATGGTGATGTTGTGCAGCTCGTTGGTGTTCATGTCGATGATGAGGGAGTGGTCCGCCTCGCCGGGCACAGTGACGATGAATCGGTCTGAGACAAGCACGCCTCCGCGGTACTTTGGGCCTGGCTCAAGCCCAGCGATGGTCGTCACGTCAAGCGTGTGAGTCTCAGGGTGGATGATGAGCACGGCAGTGCTTGCAAACGGCACGGCGTACAGGCTTCCGTCCTGGGCTTCAAATGCACCCTGCCACAGGGCCACCCCGCTCTGGCCAGCACGCTGAGCTTCGGCGGCAAGGAAGTCAGATGGCAGAGGAATCTTGGTCAGGTTTTGGGTCACGGGGTCGTACTCAACCACGTGGTCCTCCGTGAAGGGCACGAGGAACACCTTTTTTGTGGCAGAGTGTTCGACAACTGTCACGTACGCCTTACCATCCGCGCTCTCCTCAAGCCGGAATTGGTCCGTGTACACACTGGAGCTTGGATCGTGTGCGGCACACATCATGTCCTTGAGCTTGTTCACCATGAACTGCGTGCGGCGAAGCTCGGCCAGCAGGTCCACGTCGTTCACGGTCAACCCGGTGTGCCTGAGCCCGTCCTCCGTGCGGATCCGCAGGTCGCCATAGCCATCCTCCTGGAACAAAACGTTGCCTTGGGCCCCCACAACACAGCCCAGAAGCAGCAGGGCCACAAGACAAGAAGGCCGAGCAGTACAGGCTGGCGCCATCTTCTGAGATCACAACGGTGCGTGAGAAAATACAAAACAAACGCACAGGAGACGTGGCGCCTTCGATATCATTCAGCAACTTTCGTTAGAAATGGCGTGGGTTAGACGATGTGGGGTGGTGCATACAAAAAAAATATTATTGTGTTGAGGTGTTTGGCGCCACGCGGTTGGTTGACATGACAGTGACGTGAAATGACATGACATGTCATGTTGTATAACACCAGGAGTTGGTGAATCGTTGTAGCGTTTATTGGGGGTTGTCGTTGTATTGGAAATGTGTTGTTGTTGTGTCATGTCACATCACATCACATCACATCAAAACAACAGGCAAGTCAACAGCGTGTAACGGTTGTGGGGAATGCTAATGACATGGCAGTGAACGAAAGCACGAAAGAACGAGGGAAAAGAATGCATGACTGCATGAAGCATGAAGCACAACCACTCAACACAAACACACAGACAGCACACAACACACAACACAAACACGTGCGTGTTGGTGGAAGATAACGCGTCTAGGCGTCTGGCTTGTGTTCGAGGCACGGACTCACACAAACACACAACATGGATGGACGAGGGACGGGGAAGAAAGAGGGGTCGCGGTGTAGGGCAGTGATGGGGCTCGCTTGCGCGTTGTTGCAGCAGTAACAGAGCATCGTGCACGGGGAAGGGGTCACGAGAGGTCGCAATTGGCGCGGAAAGGGTTGGGATAGAACCCCACGCGCTCGTGCGCTATCAATCATTGAGTGGCGCAGGACAAGCGAACACCTACGGGCGGCTCTCAGAGCTTGGCCTTCAAGCCATTGAGGAGCTGTTCACAGGTGGCCTTGGCGTCACCCAGGAGCATGTCGGTGTTGTCCTTGTAGAACACCGGATTGTTCACGCCGGCGTAGCCAGAGGCCATCGACCGCTTCATGAACACAACGTGCTTGGCATTCCACACCTGTGTGTGGGTGAGTGAGGGTGAGGGAGAGTGAGTATATCGGTGAGCACATCAGTGAGGGAGTGAGTGTGAGTGAGTATACAGGCGGGCGCATCAGTGAGTGTATGAGTGGAGGAGCGTGTGCGTGTGAGAGAGTGAGTGAGTGAGTGAGTGAGCGAAGTCCCTCGACACAGGCGGTGGACACGAGTGCACGCCTCCGCCTCACCATTCAACAAGTACCAAGCCTTCAATCAACCCAAGCATTGCCCCCCCCTCTCCATTTCCGTTTCAAGGCTGACCTGGATCACGGGCATGCCGGCGATGGCGCTGTTTGGATCGGTCTCGGCTGCAGAGTTGACGGTGTCGTTGGCGCCAATGACGAGCGCAACATCAACGTCGTCCATCTCCTCATTGATGCCGTCCATCTCAAGCACCTGGTCGTACGGCACACCGGCCTCAGCAAGAATCACATCCAGTTGACCTGGTGTGTGTGTGTGTGTGTGCAGTGTGTGTGTGTGTGTGTGCAGTGTGTGTGTGTGCGTGTGTGGCAGGTTGGAGGTGTTGCAACGAGAGAAAGGCAAGCTCGTGAATGCAAAGCGCAGAAGGTGGTTGGTGACGTGCAAGCAGGCCCTGGGACGAGGTAAAACAGAGTGCAATGGAGCACATCATTCCAGCTCATAGCATGCGAGCACTCCAACAACGATCTGCAACAAGAATGTCGTACCTGGCATGCTGGTGTCACCGTGAAACGTAATTGCGCGGGTCATCAGAATCCATATGCCACATGTCAAGCACAAGTGTGAGCAAATGAAGAAATGACGTCTGTCACATCGGTGCTGAGGGTGTGAAAAGCCATGGCGAGTGGAAAAGCAGGAGCATGCAATGCCAACACATCCATGCAAACAATCGCGCACACAAGCACAAAGGCACAGACATTCACAACAGCGTACACACAGCAACGTGTGCCCGCTCACCGTCCAGCGACTGGGTGCACACCAAACAGGACCTGAGTGTCGAGATGCGCAACATGGGTACAGCGTGAGTGTGCGATCGTTGACGGGCGACTAACGAGCAGTTGCTGTGCACATGCGCAGAATTCAACACACGCAAACGAACAAGACCCATCTCCAACCTTCCCTCTCCCCAACACAAGTGCATACATGCAAGTACACAAGTGCACACGCGCACACACCTCCTTGCCCTGGTCGGTGAGCAGCTTGCTGATCTCTGCCACGAGGTTCTGTGCCTGGGCAACTGCAAGCCCGTACCCGGGGATGATAGCCACCTTCTGGGCATCCAGCAAGTCCTTGACCGTGCTCTCCGCGTCAATCTGCGTGTGCGTCTGGTCGGCTTCTTCCTTAACAGCGCCGGCCTCGGAGCCAAAGCCACCAAGGATGACGTTGACCAGCGAGCGGTTCATGCCATCGCACATGATCTTGGTGAGGAACGCACCAGATGAGCCAATAAGCGCACCAATGATGGCCAGCATGGGCTGGTCGAGAATGAAGCCCTCCGCACACAGCGCCCAGCCGGAGTAGGAGTTGAGCAGGGTGATGACCACAGGCATGTCGGCGCCGCCGATGGACGCGGTCATGTGCAGGCCAAGCAGCCCGCTCAGGCCAGAGCCAGCAAGCAACGCCGTGTTGGCGACGGTGGGGTCTTTGGTCACGCAGAAGGTGCCCAGGCAGCCAACCGTGCCTGCAAGCATGCCTGCGTTGAGAAGATCGCGCCCAGGCAGGCTCAGGGGCTTGGAGTCGAAGAGGGATGACAGGTTCTTGAGCTCGGCAAGCTTGCCGCACGCAATGATGGAGCCCGTGAAGGTGATGCTGCCCATCCATGCGCCGAGGAACAAGGACGTGCTGTGGAAGTTGTCCAAGTCCGCAAACGTGTCCCAGTGGTGGACAAAGTCGCCGTACGCGGTGGCCAAGGCGGCCAGACCAACAAGCGAGTGGAAGCCTGCAACGGCCTGTGGAAGCGACGTGACCTGGATGCGACGGGCAATGCCGTACCCAACACCGCCACCAATCACGGAGGAGGCAGCAAGCGCGGCCACGTTGTGCTGATCAAGCTCGTGCATGCCGCCAACAGCGGCCGTGAGCCCCATGCCCACGCCACCGAGGGCAAGCATGACGGACAGGCGGGAGGTTTCCTGCTTGGACATGGCAGCAATGCCGCCAATGCACGCCAGGCCCGAGGCCAGCGCAAGCGTCGATGTCACGGTGGGCGTCACCATGCCCTGGTATGCGAGCGTGCCATATCCGGCCATGGCAGCGCCAGCCGGTGCCAGGAAGTAGTGCCAGTACTCGGGCGGGTCGTTGGGGCGACGGAACATGTCCAGCATCTTCTTCGTGACCACAAAGCCACCAACAATGTTGACAGAGCTCAATGCGATGGCGGTTGTGGCCAGGGACAGGGGCGCAGGCGTGCCCAACTGAAGCAAGCCACCAACGATTGTCATGCCTAGCGTGCGCGCGCGCGCGCGCGTGTGTGTGTGTGTGTGTGTGTGTGTGTGTGTGTGTGTGTGTGTGTGTGTGTGTGTGTGTGTGTGTGTGTGTGTGTGTGTGTGTGTGTGTGTGTGTGTGTGAGGGAATGTGCGACGCAGGAGCAAGTGGCCCGTCAAAACAATAACAGGGGCAACTCACACATGTGCATGCATGCATGCACGCAAAATCACAAACGTCCCCACTCAGACACATCTATGCACGCACACACACAGACACATCTATGCACGCACACACACACACACACACACACACACACACACTCAGCACCTGAGATGGCGTTGGTGGTGGCCATGAGTGGGCTGTGGAGAGCATGGGTGACGCCGCGCACAGCGTTGGAGCCAACCCACACGGACAGTGCAAAGGTGGAGAGGAGGCCAGCATCTGGGATGAGCGAGCCAAACCCAATGGCAGCACCTGTCCCCACGGTAGCGCCAAACGCCTGCTTCATGGCCGCGGACTTTGGGTCCACTTCCTTGGCTTCCTCCTTCTTCGCGGCAGCGGCAGCGTCAGCCCCACCCTCAGCCTTGGACGCTGGTGGCGGTGGGACGTAAGGGTCGAGCGGTTGGCCCTTGTGCACGACACACATGGACCTGACTGCCTCGTCGTTGTCGATGTCGACCGTCCACTGCTCGTCCTTGTCCATGGAGAGCACAAACTTGGTGACGTTGTTGCCAAATAGGGTGGATGCTGTGCGGGCCATCTGACTGGGCCAGTTGGTGTACCCAAGGCAGGTGACGCCATTGTCCGTGGTGTACACCTCGCCTGGTCGCGTCGTCTCCACGTTTCCGCCCGCCTCGGAAGCAAGGTCGACGGTGACAGACCCGGTGTGCATGGCATCCACCATCTGCTTGGTGATGAGCACAGGCGCCTTCTTGCCTGGAATGAGGGCGGTGGTGATGATGACGTCGAGGCTGGGCATCTCCCTCAGCAGCATGGCTCGCGCGGCCTCAAACCACTCCGCCGACATCTCTTTGGCATAGCCACCAGCGGCATCGCCCTTCTCTTCAAAGGGGACCTTGAGGAACTTGGCGCCCATGGATGCAACCTGCTCGGCAGCCGCCTCGCGCACATCAAACGCGTTCACAATGGCATTCATGCTCTTGGCCTGCTGAATGGCAGCAAGGCCAGCCACGCCCGCACCCACCACCAGTACACGCGCAGGCGGGATCTTGCCTGCAGCGGTCATGCCGCCCGCAAACGGCTGCTCAAGGTGGTGTGCGGCCTCAATCACAGCGCGATAGCCGGCAATGTTGGCCTGGGAGGAGAGAACGTCAAAGGCTTGGCCACGGCTCAACGTGCGAAGCAGCATGTCGAGGGCGAAGGCGGTGCTGCCTTGCTTGGAGAGCTGCTGGATCTTGTCCTTGTTGACCATGGGGAAGAGGAGGGAGACGAGGGCACGGTCCTCGAGCAAGCCAACCTGCTCATCGGTTGGAGGACGAACCTTCAGCACCAGGTCGCTCTTCCACACGTCCGTTGGGCTGACGATGCTGGCGCCCGCCTCCTCGTACACGGCGTCCGCAAAGCCCGCAGCGGCACCTGCCCCGGAGGCCACGCGCACGTTTGCGCCCTTCTTGCTCAGCTGCGGCACGTTGGATGGGGTGATGGCAACACGGCGCTCGCCGGTGTCCGTCTCCTTGGCCACGCCGATGGTCAAGTTCTTGAGACCGCGCTTCTGCGCGGTGAGCGGGCTAGCACGGGAGGCGGCGGTGACGGCGGTGGCGGCGAGGAAGACCGTGGAAGTGGTCGTTGCTGTTATGGCGTTGGTCATGAGGGTGGTGGAAGAAGCACGGGGCGCCAGCTGTGACCACAGCCGTTTCACCGCACCACCACCACCACCACGCAGCAGCGCGCTGGTGGCCATGGTTTTGCCTGGGATGGGTTGTGTGTGAGTGTGTGTCAGTGAGCGTGTGTCAGTGAGCGTGTGTGTGTTCATGGAGAGGCACTGAGGGTTTGACACTCCAGAAGCATGCATGCACGAAAAGTATGCGTGCGTGCGTGTGTGCGTGTGTGTGTTGACGTGTTGTCGATCGAAATGAATGTGGATGAGGGGTGTTGTCATGTCACAACATCATGCACACAAGATATGACGACAAATTGAGCCAGGCCGCAGTGCAGTGGTTCGATCTCCCGAACGCAAGCAGTGCGAGGTTTGGCTTTGAAGACCCTAACTTACTGCAAAGTAGAAGAAGAAGAAGAAGACCAAGCCAGTGGATCCGCAGAGGGATGGCAAGCAGCAGAGGGGAGAGGGGGAAAACAAAACAAGCAAGCAAGCGAGCAAGCAAGCAAAGCAAAAGCCACAGCAAAGGAAGAGGAAAGTGGCTTGGTGTGCTGGTCGCACAACAGACACCCAAGCAAGCCAGCAAGCCGCGAACAATTCGCACTGTTGGCGAGTTGGCGGTTGTCCTCCCAACGGAAAAAACCCAAACAAAAGACGGCGCGATTTAAAACAGCATCGAATCATTCGCTCTTTTTTTTTATTGTGTGATGTGATGTGATGTGATGTGACATGACACAGCAAACAGGTGAGGTGTGGTGACAGGTGCACCCACACCACACACACGCACACACACACACGCACAAACGCACGCACAAACGCACACATACACACACACACACTTACACACGCACGCACACGCGCACAACACACAACACACACACACTTACACACACGCACACGCGCACACTAGCCAACCCTCTCCATCTCTGCCAACACAGCCCGCACGTTGGTGGCCGCGTCTCCTTTGAGCTGCTGCCCGACAATCGCTTTCAGTGCCGCAGACGGCGTTTCCTCGTCCGCTTGTCCCGCCTCTGATCGAGCCGCCGTGTCTAAGCGCTCCACCAGGGTGTCTGCCTTCTTCAGCTCAAGGCACAGGACAGCCACTGCGTAGCGGAGCGACGAGTGCGCACTCTTCAAGTCGCTCCTGACGCAAGATAATTGAAACGTCAGCAACAAGCATGAGACTTGATGGGATCTGCAAACCACAATGGATTGCACGACTGGTGCATGCAAATGCTGACGATGCACAGTGGATACATTGGGTATACAAACACACACAAACACACACATACATACATGCATACATGCATACATACAAACAAACAAACATACATACATACATACATGCATACATGCATACATTCATGCAAACACACATTACATACATACATACATACATTACATGCATACATACATACATTACATGCATGCATGCATACATACATGCATACATTCATGCATGCAAACACAACAACAACAACCCACTTTGCGACTGCTGACAGGAACGGAATGAGCAGGCGCGCTGTGCAAGGAGGGGACGTGGTGTTGTCGAGATGCTTGACTGCAGCTGTCACCGCCTCAACAGCAGCGACACAAACCTGGGAAACAATCGCATTGAGCCGACAAGGAAGGGAGAAGAGGAGAAGGAGCGCGTTATGTGAGGGCAAGGGGCAAGGGATGCTTCAGAATGGACACTTGACAACAAGCAACGCGCACACTTTGTCGCGCCGTGTGTTGTTGACGTGATCGCTTCGAGCAGGCAAGATGCTCACATATGCACGCCGCACATGAACACACAGACACGTGCATGAAAGCACAAAGACAGAAATGCTAGCGAATTAGTTCACGTGCTCAAATGTGCACGTGGGCGCAGAGAAGAATGTTTGCGCACCTTCAAGGTACCCCGCTGGAAGGCTTGCTTCAAGAAGGGGCCCAAGCGTTCAGTTGCAGCCTGCAGTTGGCGCAGTCACGTGTCAGTACAAGTTATGAGTGGGCCGAAAAGCCTATGCCGCCGTACACACCCGCACCCACACGTACAAACCAAACGAGCACAACACACACAGACACAGACACAGACACAGACACAGACACACACACACACACCACCGCACCTCGGCCGGGTGGCCTGACTGCCAGAGTTTGGCGGCGACGGCGAGTGCAGCCACACGATGTGCCTCCTTCGCCCGCGCCTTGGCAGACATGGCGTCGCGGGCCTTGTGTTGCCGCCGCTCTGTTCGCGAGGAGAGCGCACCACCCTCAAGCACAGCGCCAGTGCCAGCACCCGTCTCATCGGAGTCACTGTTGTCATCGTCGTCATCGTCGTCGCCATTGCCGTTGTTGGTGCCGCTGGGTGTCCTAAGCGAGTGCCAACCAGCGTGCTTCACATGAGTGGACAACTGCAGCAGTTGTGCTTACAATACATCTGACATAATCGCACACGTGTACCTTAGATTTGCAGTCGTCATTGTTGATGACACACAACACACAACACACACACACATGCACACACACACACACACACAGCACCCAGCTCCACCATGTCTGGACATGTACGCGAGTGTTCGCATCGACACTACCGGCACATGCTCCCAACCTTTCAGGGTCGAACGCCCTGAGTTGCTTGCACAGCACCTCAACAACAGCAGCAACCTGCTCCCTCGTTTGCAGCTGTGTCGCAATGTCGCCGAGTGCTGGCATGACCTTCAGCCTGTACTCCTTGTCGCGTTTCCCCGTCTCCTTCAGAACAGCGTGCACACCCTTGAACATTTGCAACCAAAAAAAAAAAAAAAAAAGACCACGTGAATGGTTGACGGAGAGCATGAATGGCCTGTGTGTGTGTGTGTGTATGTGTGTGTGTATGTGTGTGTGTGTGTGTGTGTGTGTGTGTGTGTGTGTGTGTGTGTGTGTGTGTGTGTGTGTGTGTGTACTAAGGGTATCAAGGGTGGGAGGAGGCGTCGATTGTGAACCAATGCGAACAAAATAAATAAATGATTGAATGAATGCTTCCCAGTGTCACGCACTTGTATACCTTGTCGAGCAACGACATGTATCCTTGGTCTTCCTCGTTTTCCTGTTTCGCCATCTGCAGCAAGTCCACGAGCGCTTGCACCGCCTTCTCCTTCCCGTCCTGCAATGAGTGGCCATGGGGGCGGGGGGGGGAGGGAGGTGGAGGTGAAGATGATGGAAGGTTAAGATTCGTTTGGAACGAGCGTGTCAAGGGGATAACGAACGATGCGCTCACGTTGATGCCACTGTGGCAGGGGCTTAGACAAGCAGACAAAAATCCAGGGAAAGAGGAACAGAAGCAACGCCGGAGACATCCAGCAAAGTACACACACACACACACACACACACACACACGCACACACACATACACACGCACACACACACACACACATATACATGTACACAGAGCCACGCTACCAACAGCACGCACCCAAGTTCTGCCCGCGAGCGACTCGAGCACGGTTGAGGTGAGCACGTGGATCTCTGGCACATCTCCCGGTCGGCACGACGACAACGCCGCACTCAGAGCCGAGGACGACTGGTGGTGGTGGCGATTGCCGATGGCGATGACAATTATGAGGTGGCCATGGAAGACAACAATCGTGTGTGACAATCGTGTGAGCATGGACAAGGGCGCCTGTGTGGAACATACTTGTACGAGCATCCGCGCATCGCATACATGCGACGTGTGGCAAGACATGTACACGCATGTTGGTTCACAGTTGAGCGAAGGGGTGATGTATTAAGCAGGTTGCATGATTGCATGACGCGTTTACCTGTCGCTTGAGCTCCCACGATCTGTCTGTGAGGCGCGGCTGGAGGATGGCGAGAATTTCCTGTTGACAGCGCACAGTGCACACAGTGCATGGTAGCAAGGGGTGAGGTCAGGGAAACGTGCAAGAATGGTGAGCGAAACATCTCAAATGGCAATGGCCTGGGTGTCTGGCGCGCGAGCAAGTGAGCAAGTGAGCAAGTGAGCAAGTGAGCAAGTGAGGAAGGAAGGGAACAAACACAGGGGTTCACAACGACCTTCATGTGCATGCGGATGGCTGCTTCGTCTGTGCCCTGGGTGGTTTCGCTCCACACATCGCTCCACACGTCGCGAACCACCTTCGACTCATCGTGACGGCCGTAGAAGGCAAGAGGAAGGCTGTAGAAATGTGCAAAGGAAAATGACCGAGTAGCAGGTAAGTAGAAGACTTTGGCAGTGGGTGTTTTGAAACAGCGCCAAGAGGGCACACCAAGAGAGCAGCACATCAGCATCCACGCGCACATCTCACAAAACGCATGAGGCATGCGACCTCCGCACACAGACACAGACACACGTGCACGCATGCACAAAGACAATAACACAAGGTGCAGCCATATCATCATCATCATCATCATCATCATCATCATCATCATCATCATCATCATCATCATCATCATCATCATCATCACATTACACTGTTGCGGCATGGGCGTGGATGACGTCGTGTGCTCTGCGGCCGACGGCGCGACACACAATACAGCTCGCCTCCATCTGCTCAGCGCTGTCGTGCTCTGTCCGCCGAGATGGTTCAGTGAGTGAGTGAGTGAGTGAGTTAGTGAATGTGTGTGAGTGAGTGAATGTGTGAGTGAGTGAGTGAGTGAGTGAGTGAGTGAGTGAGTGAGTGAGTGAGTGAGTGTGTGTGTGTGTGAGTGAGTGAGTGAGTGCGAGCACACAAGTGGTCTTCATCCTCTGACACAAAGTATGGAGAGTGCGGTTGAATAAGCATGCAAACCCAAACAACACAATAACGATCGCCATACACACACACACACATACACACACACACACACACACACACACACACACACACACACACACACACACAAAGCGCACCTAGGTACATCTTCTTTGCCTTCTTGAGGAGGCTGCCCACGTCCTCCACGCTTGCCACGCGACACACTTCCCCAGCAGCACCGGCAAGGTCGCGGCGCACGGGCGCAGACTTGCAGTTGGCGGTGGCAGTGAGCAGGGAGCGCAATATCTTGCGAGCATACGGCTGCAGCGACGAGCGGCATGTGCGCACCAGGTCTGGGTGGCGGCGGTGGTGGCCGCGGTGAGATGGGGGAAAGGAGGACGAAGGAAGGCGAAGATGTGAGAGATGAATGGGAGTGATACAGGCAGACAGATAGACAGAGTTACAGGGACACACACACACACACACACACCCACACACACACACACACACACCCACACACACACACACACACACACACACACACAGACAGAAACAGACACACACACACACACACACACATGTACAGCCACAGACACGGCTGCAAACACAGACGCACACGGCCTCACGCACGCAAGCCTCCCCACCTGAGATGAAGCGAGCGCAGCCTGCCTTCGTGCTTGCACCGATGCCCTGCTTGGTCATTTTCAAAATTCGCGGCACAAGCTCAGGCAGCGTCAACTCGTCCACCTGTTGCCGTGAAATGTTGCAATGGGAAGGTTGGGATGCAGTGTGAGGGCAGTGCGTTCGCATGAAGATGAGGAAGAGCAACAGATGTACGTTGCACCATGTACGTTGCATCATGGAGGTTGGTCACACGAACACACAGACACACAGACACACAGACACACAGACACACACACACACACAAACAGACAGACAGACAGACAGACAGACACACACACATACACGCACACACACGCACACATACCTGTCGTGCGCACTCATCCAGGCATTGCGCAATTGGCGATGACTTTGATGCAGACACGCGCAGGTCATCCAACCGCTCCTCCATCCCTTTTCGCGAGCTCAGGCGTTGGCCTGACGACCGGGATGATGGTGGTGGCGGTGGCGGTAGTTGTGGAAACAAACATATCGCGTGTGAGCACGCGAGCCACATTCCAACTTTCATCACGACAGCAGCAGCATTGATATCAACTGCAAACACGCGATGAGCAGAACAACAACAAATTCAATTTGCCCACCGCTTCCATGTACAACAACCCCTCATCCCTCTCTCCCTCTCTCACCAATGTAATCAAGGGAGGGTGACTCCATGCCAGAGAGGGCCTCCAGCAAGGTGATGACGAGGGTTGGCAGGTGTGGTTTCAGCGCTGTTCCCGCCTCGTGTGCAATGTCGACAATCACAGACAGACTTAGCGCTTTCACATCCTGTGGGAGTGGTGAGCGACGGGAGCGCGCATGTGTGTGTATGTGTGCGAGTTGCGGGAGTGTTGTGAGTTGCGTCAGTGTGCGTGTTCCGTGCGTGCGTGAAAATCAGCACGTGCACAAACAGGACCATGAGAATGCAAGGACAGCCACAGCCACAGAGGGCGGACGACCAAACAAGAAAGGCGCAGCGGCACGCAAGGCATAAGGGACAACGCACCTGAACAGAAGACATGAGTCCAGTCTCTGTGAGAAACGGCAGCAGCGATGCAATCACGGCCGGGCCCGAATCCGCTGATGATGATGGTGGTGGTGACGATGGCGGTGGTGGTGGTGAAGATGATGGTGATGGTGGTGGCGGCGGTGGTGGCGGCGGTGGTGGTGAGCAATGGAGATCGTAGGCCAACAAAGGGCACGTCAATCATGTCTACAAGTGACACAGACACATGTACGCACAGATATACAGACACACACATCCACACATCCACACCCAGACACCCAGACACACATCAACACACACACACACACACACACACACACACACACACACATATATATATATATATATATACACATATGCATGCATGATCGTCATTTACGTTTCTTGCACAGTGTGACGGAGAGCTTTGCGAGGCGCTTGCACAGGTCGCTACCGGCCTTGCGCACGGATTCCTGGCATGATACAGACATATCATAAGGAAGGGAAGGGGGAGGGGAGGGAGGACACATGAGCACGAATAGACAACAGCAGCGCAGAAGAAACTCACGCCAGACACAAGAGACGCCCAAATACCAGCCGTACGCACACACAACACACAAGGCACACGCAGCATGTCTGGTTCACCTTCACATCATCGATGACACGGAATGCGAGCTGCCACGTCTCAATGAAGATGGGCTTCACTTCCTGCCAAACGCGGCCACGCAACACGTCCGCTGCACATGATGATGATGATGATGATGATGATGATGATGATGATGATGATGATGATGATGATGATGATGATGATGTTGTTGTTGTTGTTGTTGTTGTTGGTGCAGAGGGTGAGGGATACGCGTTCAGCAAGTCAGCAACCGCAAACGCGAAGCAGCAAAGCATCACAGGCGTGCGTGTGTGTCTCCATCGTAACATAACACTATCATCATGCGTACCAAGTGCAAGGGCACACGACTCCCTAACGCGCCATTGGCGGGCGGTGATGTGCGCATTCAGCTCCTATCGTCACAGTGTTGAAGAGTGTGGCAATGTGGTGTGAGGAGGGAAACATGCATTCATGAAATAGCAAGTGACAGGAGTGGTGGTGAGGTGTTGACGTGAAAGCGGTCAAAGACACAAACAAACACCTTGACGATGGGGATGAAGTGTTGGTCCACAGTCTTGACCGGGTCCGTGACGAGCGTCGACCAGATGTTCGTCATTGCCGATCGCGTCGACGCATTGGGGTCAAACTTGTACCTGCAGCGCGCACACGTGCACACGGGCGAACACGCACAGTCAGGGCAGTGGAGGGTGTTGTTGGTGCTGTTGACGAGACGATATACCAAAACCAAGAAATACCCATAACCTCACAAGCATATCATGTGGAGCAAGTTACATAGCGGACACACACACACACACACACAGACACACAGACACACACACACAGACACACACGTTCACACACACACACACAGACACAGACACAGACACACACACACACACGTTCACACAGACACTAATCAAGTACCCCTGTCCTCCCCCCCCTGGTTCACCTGTAGAGCTTCGGAAGGACAGCGTCAAGTTTGTCGTCGATGGTGATGCCCGTGTGTTTGGCGATGCGCCCAAACCCATACGCAGCGCCGCGCCGACTGTTCCAAAGGACGTTGTGGTTCGCCAGGCTCATGAACCTTGCCATACACCATTGGAGGGAAGGGTGAGATATCGAAGGAGACAGTGGTCCATGTATGTGCACAAAAGCGTGTGTGTCTGTCTTGTCAGGAGCGTCCGTGTGAAACTGCACAGATAACACATTCACACTCGCATGAACAAACGCACACAGACACAGACACAGACACAGACACCCACCCACCCACCTGTAGATGAGGTCTGGCTGGTTGAGATCAGAGGCGAGCGACGAGATGTCCTTGTACGTCGTCAGCGACGCCCCTTCGCGCGTGCGTCCAAGCTCGCCCTCTCCAAACACGGTGTCCTCGGAGCCGGCAGCATACTTGTGTGCCTGCACGCAATAACAGCAACAACAGCAGCAGGACATATGAGTGTGCGAGTGTGTGTGTGTGTGTGCGTGTGTGCGAGTGTGTGTGTGTGAGTGTGTGAGTTGACGCACGCACGCTGTTTCAACTGCAAAGTGCAACAACAGCACAGCCAGTACACAAGCAACTCACCGCGGACTTATGGCCCTGTGACAGTGCGGACGTGAGGGCCTGCACAAGCTTTGCCTTTGTCTCCTCTGTGCCCAAATCGTAACACATCTCCAATCCGTGCGACGCAACCTCCTGCCAAACGTTCCCAGCGCATGCATGTGCGCGTGTGAGTGAGTGAGTGAGTGAGTGAGTGAGTGAGTGAGTGAGTGAGTGAGTGAGTGAGTGAGTGAGTGAGTGAGTGAGTGAGTGAGTGAGTGAGTGAGTGAGTGAGTGAGTGAGTGAATGAGTGAGTGAGTGAGTGAGTGAGTGAGTGAATGAGTGAGCGAGTGCACATGAAAAAGTATGTAGAGTTGTGCCACTAACGCGACAACAAGCAGGATGCAACGGCAGTGGTGTGCTGGTGGTCACCTGCACAATGGCGTCGCCCTCGGAGAGAAGGTCGAAGAAACAGCGCTGGAGGCGTGGCAGCCGCTCTTGGATCGCTGGTGAGGATAACAATGATGATGGTGATGATGGTGTTGGCAACGAAATGTCATGGCGTCATGATGGTGGCGATGAGGATGAGTGTCTGCAAGAAAATGAGGTGATCCATAACACACTCACACACATCCACACACTCACATCCACACAGACATCCGCCCACACAAACACACACACATGTGCACCTGATGTGTGGGAGCAATTCTTGCAGAGGCCGACGAGCCAGACGCCCGCAGCGTGACGCGTCGCCGCACTCCTGTCCGTCGATCTGGGGATGACGCGTTGAACCGGAGCAGCGGGCATCGTCATGAAACGTGAATGGGCAGCGCAAACACACACACACACACACACACAGAGAAAAAAAAAGAGAGAGACACACACATACACACAGAAACAAGCAAGACACACACACACACACACACAAACAAGCAAGAGACAAGCGTACTCATTCACCCACACAAATGCACGAGGCATATAATGCGTGTACACAATGTCTCACTTGTGATCGAGGATAGTGTCAACGCCTCGTCCAAGCCGAGCCATGAGCTCGTCCTCACTCGGCTCTCGCACCGTAACAACTTGACCATCACCATCACCATCACCTTCACTGTTACTATCACCTCTCTGTTCGCCACCATCGGCGCGTTCATCTGCCGCGCTGTCGTGCCCGTGACCCTCTGTGGCCCCTTCAAACATGAGTGGTGTCACAATCTCCTCCCTGAAGTAGTTGTGGGAGCGGATGGACAGTCCACCTGCCAGCGCCGTCGAAATTGCATCGCCCGCAGACAGATTCATCTCTGCATGCAGGGTCACAGTGATGCGCATGTGTGAGTGGCATGGGTGTGCGTTGTTTCCCAGTGCAGGTGGGGGCAATGCGAAAGTATGGCAGGTGAGTGAGCTCTAACACAGCAACGAGTGAGTTCAGGAGGGGCAAAGCCTCACACACATACACCACACACACACACATACGCACGCACGCACGCACACACACACACCAAAGACGCGATAGTGGGCTGTTTCGTAGATTGCATCCAGTGCTGTCGTGTACAAGTCTGCCTTGTCCTCAGCGCCTTCCTTGCCCTCACCACTCCTTTCGTCAACTGCTTGTGCAAGCGATAGGGTGGATGTGAACGTGTGAGCAACGAACGGCACTCGGGCAGTTTGGTGGCACGGCTTCAACACAGCCAGAATAGAACCATGTGGTCAACGCACATCGCCGTGGACACGTCAGACGTCATGAACACAGCCAACACCAGCGAGCAGCAGCACACACACGAACACCAACAACAGTGGAGCACAGAACTACGTACAGCAGGCGAAGGACTGAGCGAGGTGGCCGATGGCGATGACGGCTGCCTCCGCCATTGCGCCCCCACCGCGCTTCTCCTGAAAATTCATAAGTGCATGCAAGCAAGGGGAGTCAGGTGAAACAAGAAGTGGATGCACGTTTTGAGGAGATGACAAGGGCGCAAGACACACAGGTGCAAAGATACACACGCACACACACACACACACACACACGCACACACACGCACACACACATACTCAGACACACGTACACATCAGCGCAAAAGCACACCTTCTTCACAGTCTTGTCTGGACGACAAAAGCGCTGAAGTGTCGAGAGCAGCTCAGAAAAGTCACACACTGAAAAGTTATAGCGTGCAATGTGAGAAAACGTCGGAAGTCGTGCAGAGTGCGTGGTTGTGGGAGGTACACGCACGTCAAGCACACGCACACACACATGCACACACACACACACATGCACACACACACCTGTGGGCGGGAGGATGTGTGCGAGCGCAACATCGGAGATGGCGTGGCAGGCGGCAAGGCGCATCTCCTGCCGTGCGAGCGCGAGCAAATGCTTGCAGGCAGACATAAATGCCTTGATCAGGCGGCCGTCAGCCAGTTGTTGCGTGGGCAGCGCGGCCAACGCGTGCGCGGCGACATAGGCGCTTCCAAATGCATGTGCAGCCCCGCCAACGTCGTCACTGAAGAGATAACGCGGAGTTACGAAGCAGAACGAAGGTGAGAGGGTGTGCATGTTGGTGAGTGCATGCGAGTGAGTGAGTGAGTGAGTGAGTGAGTGAGTGAGTGAGTGGGTGGGTGGGTGAGTGAGTGTGCATATGTGTGCGTGAGCAGGGAAGCAAGGTACTCGTGATTGCTCACCCGGCAGCAGTCATTGCCTGCAGGCAACGCGAGAGGGTCGGCTCTCGGTGGTTTTCCACAAACACCGCACAGATGGCGAGTAGCCTGCGCGAATGGATACAGCCACCACGGTGTTGAGCGAGGACACGTGGAATCATCATCAGCACGCACGTGGATGGGGCAGTATCGATGGTTGTGTGGACAAACAATCAACAGATCAAGCAAGCAGAAGAAGCAAGGAAACAAACACAACGGCAAGCAGTTAAAGCCAACGAAGCGAGCAGACAAAAATGACACACACACACACACACACACACACACACGCACGCACGCACACACACACACACACACACACACACACACACACACACACACACACACACACACACACACACACACACGCATGCGCCATACTTTGCGGATGATGTGCTGATGGCGCGCTGCGGCGCTGAGAGGTTCGTGAAGAGACGAGAGAGGATGGGCACGATGCTTGCACACACCACGTCCGGTAGCACGCTCGCCATCTCGAGCAGACAGTGCAGTGCCGTGGCATGCAGGTCATCGAGCGACGTGGATTGCAGCGCCAGCATTGCCATGAAGAAGAGCTGTGCTGCCGGGTGATCGTCGTGCTGAGTCAGCAGATTCTCGGGTGCACGTGCCAGCGGAGGGGCAGCAGACAGCACAGCGGATGTTGTAGACGCCTCAGATGCCTCTGTCGTCCTCGTTGGTGCTGCGTCCGTGGTCGCCTTGTCTTGAGCACCACCGCCGCGACCACCGCGACCACCGCGACCACCGCGACCATCACCACCATCACCACCATCACCACTGCCTTCGTGTGAGGAGAGGAGGGCGTGTCGCAGTCGCAGAAGCCGGTCCTTTGTGGACCCGTACTTGGCAATGTACTCTTCCTCGTCACGCGTGGCGGTCGCGTGTGCATGCAGGCAACGGAAGGCAAAGAGAAGGCCATTCTGGATGACGCCCTGCTTGTACGGAAGCTCGTGTGACACGAGCCCAGGCGTGCCGTCCGCACGTCGCTTGCGTATCGCGCCAAGAAACTTGCTTGCAAGCATGGACGCCACTTCAGCAAAGTCGGGAACAACAAGCTCGCCATCGCCTTCTTCTTCCTGCTGCTCTGCGGGTAACGGCGAGGGTGAGAGAGGAGACGGTGTGCTCTCAGTTGCAGCAGTGGTGGTTGCTGGAGCTGCCTCACTCGCTTGGGCGTTCTCGCCACCTGCTGTCGTCTCCTTTGTCTGCTCAGTTGCCGCTCCCTTCGGCTCGGCACCATCCCGCTGCGTGCTTTCCTCCTTTGTCCTGGCTTTGCTCACCGCTGCCCGGCGTTTTGGTTTGCCTGCAAGCATGAGCGCTGCCTGTGCCTCTGCGCGAATGTCCTGCTGCTGGTCTGCGGAGGCGAGGATGAGGACGAACCGGGACGAGACATGGTCGGGCGGAAACACATCGACTGCATAGCGCACAGCCATTGTGCGCACCGCCGACTGCGTGTGCACGACGTGCTCAAGCAGCAGGTTGACGAGGCGGCGTGCGTTGTCCCCGCTCACGCCTGGCGTGTGTGCGTATGTGTGCGTATGTGTGTGTGTGTGTGTGTGAGTGTGTGAGTGTGTGTGTATGTGAAAAAGTTGCGTGCCTCACCTTCTTTGGTTGACTCGGATAAATTCAACATGCACACATCGGGCTCTCTCACTCTCACTCTCACACACACACACACACACACACACACACACACACAACTCACCGATGTAGCACTCCTTCATAAGGGCGAGCGCTTCCTGAAGATGCCTGCAGGCGCCACAACATTCGGGGAGTGTTGCGTGAGTGCACAATGAGGTGCACCAAAACAAGATGCAACACGCACCTTCAACACACACACGCACACACACACACACAAACCGCATATACACGGTCGCATGAAACTAGGCACGAGTGTACAACTCCCTCATCATTCACGCTCAACTAGTTCAAGCATGTGGACAAGCACTCACAAGACAAGGTTGCCAGCGGCGCCTGCGCAGCGCTGGAAGAGCTTGCGCAAGAGCGCAACATCGTCACGCACACGCACGCGCATTGCATCAGACTTGCGGGCCAGCAGGCCAAGGTTGTGGTAGGCGTGGCCATAAACTTCAAGCGTGTTGCTGTACACGTGTGCATTTGTGTGAGCGAGGGATGCGAAGGTTTTACGGGCAAATTATGGAGTGTGATTGTGATGTGTATGTGTGTGTGTGTGTCGTGGGCGAGAGTGAGCGAGCGATGTAAAACGACACAGAGGCGTACAGCAACGTATATGCACAGACAAACAGACAGAGACAGGCAGAGAGAGAGAGAGAGACAGAGAGAGAGACAGAGAGACAGAGAGAGACAGAGAGAGAGACAGAGAGAGAGACAGAGAGACAGAGAGAGACAGAGAGACG